CTTGCAAATTGATGTAGATGGTCTGCTGCTGCAATTAGGGCATGAACAAGATGATTTTTTTCCTTGCAAATTGATGTAGATGGTCTGCTGCTGCAGGCGCCATCTTCCACATCATCTTGTCCCTCCTTAACAAGTTATCCATTTGTGAACTGCTAATTTATTTGGGGATTTGTCCCCATAAACTTTTCTGAAAGCATCAGTGATTTCACCATTCTTCCATCCAAGCTTCACCATAAATGTTGATGTTTCTTCTTGCTTCAATTTTAGCAGAATTCACATTGCTCTGAGAGGGACTGTTTTCAAGCTGATGTCTTACCCTTCTTAGTGCCTCAAATGAAATCCCATTCAGACATGTTATAACAAGTTAGTATGAGTTTACTTTGGTGCAAAACAATTTGAAATTCATGCATTGTTTTTTCATACTATGTGTTTTCCATGAACTTTTCTAAGTCCCCTTGTATAAGAGTATTATATGATCTCATTTATATGAAATTTTAGAACAGGCAAAACTATACTGATAGAAGACAAGTAAGTGGTTATCTGGTGTTGGAATGGGGTAGAGATTCTGCGAAGGGGGATGAGTGAACTATTTTGGGGTGATATTTAGGATGATTAATAATGTTTTATATCTTGATTGTTGTGGTGGATACATGGGTATATACATTTGTCAAAAATCAAACTCTCTCTCTCTCTCTTTCTCTCTCTCTCGCTCTCTCTCTCTATATATATATATATATTTTTTTTTTTTCCCGAGACGGAGTCTTGCTCTGTCACCAGGCTAGAGTGCAGTGGAACGATCTTGGCTCACTGCAACCTCTGCCTTCCGGGTTCAAGGATTCTCCTTCCTCAGCCTCACTAGTAGCTGGGACTACAGGCATGTGCCACCACGCCCAGCGAATTTTTGTATTTTTAGTGGAGACAGAGTTTCACCCTGTTGGCCAGGATGGTCTCGATCTCTTAACCTCATGATTCACCCACCTCAACCTCCCAAAGTGCTGGGATAACAGGTGTGAGCCACTGTGCCTGGCTCAAACTATACTCTTTCTTTTTTTTTTTTTTGAGATGGAGTCTTGCTCTGTCGCCCAGGCTGGAGTGCAGTGGCATGATCTTGGCTCACTGCAAGCTCCACTTCCCAGGTTCACGCCATTCTCCTGCCCCAGCCTCCCGAGTGGCTGGGACTACAGGTGCCCGCCACCATGCCCAGCTAATTTTTTGTATTTTTAGTAGAGACGGGGTTTCACTGTGTTAGCCAGGATGGTCTCGATCTCCTGACCTCGTGATCCGCCCACCTCAGCCTCCCAAAGTGCTGGGATTCAAACTATATTCTTAATATGAGTACAGTTTATTGTTTCTAAACTACACCTCAGTAAATGTTGATTAAGTGAAAATTAATAATGAGATACAATTCCATACCTATCATATTGGCAAAAATTTTGTAATCTGGTAGTGTCAAGTGTTGGTGAGTGTATGGGGAAAGGGGAATTACTCTATTTCATTGATGGAAGCAAATATTGGTACAATCACTGTTGAGCCATTCAGCAGAATAATTTGTCAGTCTCTAGTAAGTGAAGATGTATGTAACTGTAATCTAGCAATTCCATTTCTAAGCATACACTGTGACCCACAGATACACTCACGTATGTGTACCAGGGCACAAACTGACTGCAACATTACTTATGATAGCAAAAAATCAGGAACAATCTCAATGTATCTATTAACAGAAGATAGATTGATAACTTTTGGTATAGTCATTTATAAGAGAAAACTAGACTGCTGTATCACAGCACGGGTAGACCTCAAAAATATAATGTTGAAAGCAAAAAACAACCTCATTAAAATGGGCAAAAGATGTGTACAGACACTTCTCCCAAGAAGACATACACGTGGCCAACAAGCAAATGAAAAAATGTTCAACATCACTAATCAGAGAAATGTAAGTCAAAACCACACTGAGATACCATTTATACCAGTCAGAATGGCTATTATCAAAAAGTAAAAAAGTAACAGATACTGGTGAGGTTGTAGAGAAAAGGAAATGTTTACACACTTGTGGCAGGCATGTAAATTAGTTCAGCCACTGTGGAAAGCAGTTTGGAGATTTCTCAAAGAACTTAAAACAGAACTAACATTTGACCCAGCAATCCCATTACTGGGTATATACCCAAAGCAACAGAAATAATTCTACTATAGGCCAGATGCGGTGGCTCACGCCTGTAATCCTAGCAATTTGGGAGGCAGAGGCCAGTGGATCACCTGAGGTCAGGAGTTCGAGATCAGCCTGACCAGCATGGAGAAACCCTGTCTCTACTAAAAATACAAAATTAGCCAGGCATGGTGGCACATCTCTGTAATCTCAGTGACTTGGGAGGCTGAGGCAGGAGAATTGCTTGAACCCGGGAGGTGGAGGTTGCAGTGAGCCAAGATCGCTCCATTGTACTCCAGCCTGGGCAACAACAGTGAAACTCCGTCTCAAAAAAAAAAAAGAAAGAAAAGAAAAAAGAGATAATTCTACTATAAAGACACATGTACACATATGCTCATCACAGCACTATTTACAATAACAAAAACATGGAATCAGCCTAGGTGCCCATCAGTGGTGGACTGGATAATGGAAATGTGGTACATAGAATACTACACAGCCATAAAAAAGAAGGAGATTGGCCGGGCATGGTGGGTCATGCCTGTAATCCCAGCATTTGGGAGACGAGGCAGGTAGATCACAAGGTCAGGAGTTCGAGACCAGCCTGACCAACATGGTCAAACCCCATCTCTATTAAAAATACAAAAATTAGCCAGATGTGGTGGCACACGCCTATAATCCCAGCTACTCAGGAGGCTGAGGCAGGAGAATGGTTAGAATCTGGGAGGTGGAGGTTGCAATGAGCCGAGATCACGCCTTTGCACTTCAACCCGGGCAACAGAGCAAGACTCTATCTCAAAAATAAATAAAAAGAACGAGATTGGTTAGGGGTGATGGCTCACACCTGTAATCCCAGCACTTTGGGAGGCTGAGGCGGGCAGATCACCTGAGATCAGGAGTTTGAGACCAGCCTGGCTAACATAGTGAAACCCCATTTCTACTAAAAATACAAAAAATTAGCTGGATGTGGTGGCACGTGTCTGTAATCCCAGCTACTTGGGAGGCTGAGCCAGGAGAATCCCTTGAACCTGGGAGACAGAGGTTGCAGTGAGCCAAGATCATGCCACTGCACTCCAGCCTGGGCAACAAGAGCGAAACAAAACAAAGATAAAAACAAAGAAAAGAATGAGATCATGTTCTTTGCAGCAACATGGATTGATCTGGAGAATATTATCTTAAGTAACTAACAAAGGGACAGAAAACCAAATGTTCTAACTTATAAACGGAAGCTAAACGTTGAGTACCCATGGACACAAAGAAGAGAACGATAGACTAGGCGCAGTGGCTCATACCTATGATTCCAGCACTTTGGTAGGCCAAGGCGGGTGGATCACCTGAGGTCAGGAGTTCATGAACAGTCTGGCCAACTTGGTAAAACCCTGTCTCTACTTAACAATACAAAAATTAGCCAGGTGTGGTGGCTAGAGTGCAGTGACACAATCTCAGCTCACTGCAACCTCCGCCTCCCAGGTTCAAACCACTCTCTTGCCTCAGTCTCCCGAGTCACTGGGATTGCAGGCGCCTGCCACCATACCTAGCTAATTTCTGTATTTTTAGCAGAGACAGGGTTTTACCAAGTTGGCCAGGCTGGTCTCGAACTCCTGACCTCGTGATCCACCCGCCTTGGTCTCCCAAAGTACTGGGATTACAGGCGTGAGCCACCGCATCTGGCCAGTATCTGTGAATTTTGATATGAGAGCAAGAACATTTAAAACCCGTATATTTACAAATTGATGTTTCTTTGCATGAAGGCCTTGGTGAAAGTTGACCAAAAGTCACCCTGTGGACTGTCAGCATCTTTCTTTCTCTCTCTCTCTTTCAGGGTAAAAACCCCAAAGCTGTCATCAGCATTAAGGACTTGAATGCCACCTTCCAGACAGAGAAGATAGGGCACCCCCACGGGCTGCAGATCACCTACAGGAGAGATGGCCACATCAGGAACCTGTTTGTGTATCATGAAAGTGGGAAGGTGAGACGACTGGAGTTGCCACCTCCACCTCCAGCTCGCACCCCAGGACTCGGCAGGTGCAGCTCACCACCTCCCCTGCTCACTGGTGCTGTGCTCAGCTGCCTCTAGAGATTTTCTGCTACCATTTGCCTTAATCTATAGTCACTTCCCAGTCTGAGACAAAGATATGAGGAGGGCAGGGTGAGATCAGGGAGAGGAACCTGGCAAGTACCATGGCTGTATCTGAACGGTGCACAGCCACCAATGAAAGTCCAGTTACAGAAGTGACTATGCCCAGGAATGCAAAGCCAGGTAGGGCCAGAGGTTATTTTATTTTATTTTACTTTTATCCAAAATGTGTTTATTGAGATGGTTTCCCACTCATCTTGATTCAGCGTGCCTTTAGTGCTGCTTCCTCCTAAAGGAACATCCTTCTGTAAGCCTTGCTTTTCTTCCTGTAGGCTGGCAGAGGACAGTGGAGCAGCCAACACACAAAACTACCGTTTGTGCATGGCTAAAGACCGTGGTGATTTTATAGCATCCTGGGCATTTCACATCCATGAAGTAGGAATTGGGGCTCTGCACCAGGCGTTTCTTCTTGTGTTTCCTCTTCTCCTCTTCTGGGGAGGGATGAAGGAGATCCTTTGCGAGAGGCATGTTCTCATGTGGGTAGGTCGTCACCGCCGGAAAGGCAGGCCAGAGGTTTTGAATACGGGGGAGGAACTGATAGACAGTCAGGCGGCAGTGCGCCCCAGGACGCTGCTTCTCAACATGTGGTCCTGGTCCAACAGCATTGGCATCACCCAGGAGCTTGTTAAAAATAGTCTCAAGGCTGAGCATGGTAGCTTTTGCCTGTAATCCCAGAACTTTGGGAGGCCAAGGCAGGTGGATCACTTGAACCCAGGAGTTTGAGACCAGCCTCAACTGGTGGGGAGGGGGCTGTAATCCCAGCACTTTGGGAGGCCGAGGTGGGCGGATCATGAGGTCAGGAGATCGAGACCATCCTGGCTAACACGGTGAAACCCAGTCTCTACTAAAAATACAAAAAAATTAGCTGAAAAAAATAGCTGGGCATGGGGGGAGGGGGCTGTAATCCCAGCACTTTGGGAAGCCGAGGTGGGCGGATCATAAGGTCAGGAGATCGAGACCATCCTGGCTAACACGGTGAAACCCAGTCTCTACTAAAAATACAAAAAAATTAGCTGGGCGTGGGGGCGGGCGCCTGTAGTCCCAGCTACTCGGGAGGCTGAGGCAGGAGAATGGCAATGAACCCAGGAGATGGAGCTTGCAGTGAGCCGAGATGGCGCCACTGCACTCCAGCCTGGGTGACAGAGCAAGACTCCGCCTCAAAAAAAAAAAAAAAAAGAAAAAAGAAAAAGAAACTGCATTTTAACAGGATCCCAGGTGAGTCTTGTGCACATTTAAGTTTGAGAAGCACTATTTTTTTTCCTTTGGAGACAGAACTCGCTCTGTTGCCCAGGTTGGAGTGCAGTGGCGTGATTTCGGCTCACTGCAACCTCCACTTTCAGGGTTCAAGCGATCCTCCTGCCTCAGCCTCCCAAGTAGCTGAGCTCACACTCAGCTAATTTTTTTTTTTTTTGTATTTTTAGTAGACACAGGGTTTCACCATGTTGGCCGGGCTGGTCTTGAATTCCTGACCTCAAGTGATCTGCCCACCTCGGCCTCCCAAAGTGCTGGAATTACAGGGGTGAGCCACTGAGAAGCACTATTTAATAGTCCAGGAAATCAGCCCAGTCAGAGATGAGCAGGCCAATATAAGAGAATAAGCTGGGTCAGGTCCTGAGCAGGGTCTCAGGACTAGGCAGGGGACAGAGATGCTAAGTGGGAGTGGATGAAGGTGGGTGCTGACATTTTGTGACCATCTATTAACTCCCCTGGGCACTGCTTTTGGTGATTGCTGTCCATCATTTCTTAATCCTCAAAATAAGCCCCCGTTACTGAGTCATGGACATGTTAGTAACTTGCTCGGGTCACAGCCAGTGGTTCCTGAGCCCTGCACCCACTTTACCCGCCATGTGCCTCTGCTGTAGGGAGGACCCTTGGCAGCAGGAGCCAGGAACCAGATGCAGGGACTAGACCTTCCCAAGGGGCCCTAGCACCACAGCCCTAGCCCCCTCTCCATGCCAACCACTGCCACAAGGACTTTTACTGAGGCACCCAAGGTCTCTGGCACTTAGGATACCCAGCTCCCTCCTATCTGCCCAGTATGGTGCCTCTGACAACCTGGGTCTGGCCGTTCTTCTCTTGTGCTTGATGCCCCAGCCTGTCTGTTAGATGGGCATAAATGAGGACTCCAGATTCCTGCCTGCAGGAGTCAGGGGGTGATTTAAAAACTAAGTGGACAGGCATAAGGAGTGAGGAGGGGGCTGTGGCAAACAGGAAAACCTGCATGGAGGATTGAAACAAACAAAACTTCAGGAGCCAAACAGGTATGCAGGTTGGACTTGGCACCAGGATCACCAGACTGTGACTGGAGAGACCTTCCAATGTGAAGGCCTAGGCATGTCTTTTCTGGGCTGGCCCCATTCCCTTAGTGCCTGACACCTAAGAAGGTTCTTTTTTTTTTTTTTTTTT